CGGGGCATGGTGTCTCTCTCAGGCGTCTGCTCCAGAGAGGAGAGCTGTTGAGTCTCTGAGCTCACATCCTCTTCCTCCCAGCGTTCTGTTCTGTTTACTCCTCCCACCTATCTTCTAACCAATAAAATGGGCCAAGGCAGTTCCTTTATTAGCCAATGACCTTCCTCCATCACAGACAGAAAAGGTTACGGATAAACAGTAAAGACAGATTCAGACGATTAAAACTTCTCAGTGGGTTACAGGGTGTTAAAAAAATAGACTTGGGAAGAGAAAATAAAGTTCTTTTAAAGGGAATAGAACAATATAAATATGATAAGCCACATAAAAATGAGAAATACAGAGAATCTGGTTCCTGAATGTTACTGGGTTATCTTTAATATTTTCAGCTGCTAAGAGACCCTGGACTATACAACCTGTAAAATCCAAAAAACCTGTATATTTGAAAAATATATTGACTTCAAAATTCAAGTCAAAAATTATGTTATTTTGGGGGAGAGTTTATGCTTTAATTTCCACAGAACATGAGAGGCTATGGATTCATTTCAGGTTAAGAAAAATTAGGTTTGATAGCAAAAGACCACCTGAAAAAATCTGACTGCATACACAAAGAAATAAACCTAAAAGAGCTACAAGACATATGATATATATTTTACCTGCTCAAACATAAAACAAAAAATCTTTGGCTGACTTACGTACAATACACAGTCTATACTTGTGTCAGATATGTTTGATACCTTTAAAAGTTTATGTATTTTCACAGCTAAGGGGTCAAACACCAATAAAAACAGATGACCCCCAGGTGTTTCAGCATTTCAAAATGTCTCTGTTACAGTCTCCTCAGAATCCCACATCCAGGACAGTTTCAAGGCTGCTGGCTGAGATGATATAAACTGCTGGCTGAGATGATATAAACACGAGAAAGGTGACTGCTAAGTTTTGCTAAGACAAGGGAGGGCAGTTCTTCAAAATTCCCTGCTTCACAGAAAAGTCTGTCCGATATGCTATACCTGTAGGCCAGAGCTGGATTCCCCAACATTACATAGGAACTTTGGGTGACTTGTCAAGCAGCCTGATACCCCTGTTATTAGGTAACCTTTCATCTCTCTGGGGTCTTTGATGCAATTGAAGACTAGATAATTACAGTTTTCCTTAGGAGAGAAAGTAAATTAGGTACAAATTTGGAGTCACAAAGATAAGATGAATAATGAAATACTTTCTTTAATTTTGTCAAATACAAATGGACTAATTATAACTGTAATTCTTACTTTGTTGTATATTTTTACTAATTTAAAGTGAAAAACTTCCATTTTAAACTGACAAAAGCAGGAAATGCTGTGGAATTATCTTTTTGTACAAGGTGAAAATTTTTCATTGTTATTGGTGTAATAAAGAAGGTGACTGGCCAGTAGATGAACAGGATAAAGTTAGGCAGGAAAGTATACAGACAGTATAAGGACTAAATTGGTTACGCATACATATATACAAACACACTCACACACATAAACACACACACACACACACATATACACACACATTACACACACACATATAAGCAAGACAAGGTCAGACAGCCCTTCAACATTCCCTGCTTCACAGGAAAGTCTGTCAGATATATTAACAGCAGTTAAGAAAAGAGGACATGAATTTGAAAGAAATCAGGGGGTATGTAGGAGGGTTCAAATGAGGGAAAAGGGAGGGGTAAAATGATATGTCTTAATTAAAATAATGGGGGAGCTCGAGTAATGGCTCAGCAGTTAAGAGGACTGACTGCTCATCCAGAGGTTCTGAGTTCAATTCCCAGCAACCACATAATGGCTCATGACCATCTATAGTGGAGTCTGGTGCCCTCTTCTGTCAGAAAGTTGTAAATGCAGATAGAGCATAAACACTTTTCTAGGAGAAAACAAACAGAACTAATGAATTTAAAAATCACTGGTCTCATAAAGGAAAGCACATTCCAATCATTGATATAAAAATAACATCCACTGACTTCTCAGTGGAAATGTTAAAAGTAAGAAAAGCCTAAAGCAAAGTTATCCACGTTCTGAGACCACAGGTGCCAACCCAGCTAACTTGACCCAGTAAAACTACTTTCTAGAGTTGAAGAAGAAAGAAGTTTTCACAATACAAACCAGCTAAAAGAATTCGTGTCCACTAAACAAGTCCTGCAGAAAATACTGTACGTGATAATTCCAAGTGGAAAGAGTGCTAAGTGTAGCCATAAGGACATGGGCTGAAAACAAATCAAGCTATAATTACTGGAACACAAAATAGGGCTATGAACACAAACAGAACAAAAAGATAGCAATGGACACACACCTTTCAATAGCTATTTTATTCACCAAAAAACACAGTTTATTTCAATGAATTCAGAAACAAAGCCTTTTTCTTTTCTGTTAGCTACCAGCAGTTCATCTTAGGACAGGCAGCACCTTACAGTGAAAAAAAAAATGGAGAAAACTGTTCCAAGAAAATGGGACCATGGAAAAAGCAGGTTCTGCTGTCCCAATATCTGAAAAAATAGTGTCTAAATTCTAACTAGTAATGTGAGATAAGGAACACATTCTTATAAGAGAACAATTAATAGAGAAGGCATTACAGGGATTGGATGGTTAGTTAAGTAGTTAAGAGTACTTGCTCTTCTTCCAGAGGACCAGAGTTTGGGTCCCAGCACCTACGTTGGGTGTCTCAAGCCTCTTGTACCTCCAGTTCCAAGGGATCTGGTGCCTTCTTCTATTCTGTATGGGTACACACTCACACACTAAGATACACACACACACACACACACACACACACATAAATAACAATAAAAATAAATCTTTTGAAAAGTCTCTTGAAATTCTTCAATAATAAAATTATCACAATCAAAAAGGCAAAATAAAATATTTTATAAATAAGCACGTGACAGTAATTTTCACAGTTTTTTGGTTAACCCAATAGGTTGTCATTTAGGCATGTAGTAAATGAGATATTGTCCATAGTTTTCCACATAGCATATGTCTAATAGGGTTAATCATATGTTAAGTGTTCAATGGGTACCTGGGAGTAGTACCTCACGGACGAGGGAGCACAGCTTTAAAGGTTTGCTGCCTCACGTATAAAAATGGTTTTAAGGGTGCATGCCTTTAATCTCAGCACTCAAGATGCAGAGACAGAGGCAGGCAGATCTCTGGGTGTTCGAGGCCAGCCTGGTCTACAGAGTTCCAGGAGAGGACCCAAAGCTATACAAAGAAAACATGTCTCAAAAACAAATTACAATTTTTTTTTTTTAGAATTCGCATTGAATTTCATTTGGAACACAATAAAATAAAACAGGTTCGCCTTTCAGTGAAAGTAAGGCAAAAAAAAAGGTAAAAGAAGAAACGCATGAAAAATTATTTATCTAGGTAAAAGCTACCAATATTTCTGTTCATTTCTTTTTAAAATCACATTTTTCACTTTATCAAATATTATCAAACATATCTGTAACAGGTAAGAACATGCACATGTAACTGGCTACTATCATGGAATTTCAACTAAAGCCTTATACTCCATCTTCCTGTCTATAAAATTGTTGTAAGCTTGTTTTATTAATGACTTAGCTGCAATAAAGTAAATGAAAACAGGCATTAAATGCTTGCTATCCCTGTCAAATGAACACGAAAGAAGTAAATTAGAATTACAGTGCTGCCTCCAAATCATGCCTATGCTTTATTTTATCCCATGACACGGTTTTGTTTGGAACTTGAGTGAACGATGTTAAACTCCTAAGGAGAAATATCACTACAAGATACTGAACCTAGAAAGATGTCAGTAATGAAACCTTGTTGTACATCTAGAAGTGGGAAACCTAAATTTACTCGCGTTTAAGAATGTTTCGTTCTTCATCGTTTTCTTCCTATTCTTCTTAACTACAGATAAAAATGAGAGAGAATGACAAATTATACAAGATTAATCTGCTTCCTATATTTAAGAAAGTGAGCAGCCATTGGTGCATGTCTGACATATTTGTGTTTTATCTCAGCAGTTACAGAAAATCATCATGCTTTTCTCTTATAAATTAAACCCAGAACCATTAGGGTGCTTATGCAACAAATCAAGTGATTACACCAACATTTTGACTACTGGTGTGTGTGTGTGTGTGTGTGTGTGTGTGTCTGTGTTTGTGTGTGTGTGTGTGCTCCTCTCTGAATTGAACTACTGCCCTGCACATTCCAACCCCATGAGCCACAACCCCAGTCTTGTGTGAGGTGTTTATTCTTCTAGAAAATTTTTGCTGTCATGGAAAGAAAGCTGTCGAGCTAGAAAAGCCAGTGCCATTTGCACAGGTGATGCTTCCTTACCCTCCTGGGCCCTTGGCTTCTGCATGCTTTATGGAGCACTCAGCTGTGAAAGTACAGGGAAAAAAGGAAAGAAAGAAGGACAGAGAAAGGAAAGAGAAGAAAAATGCTAATCACTTAAAGATACTGAAAGAAAAAATTTCTTGAATATTAATTGTAGGTTCGGTGTTGAATTGTCCTATTAGGACTACATTTCTTTGGACTGGTATAAAATATGAAAATCTATAGCTAAATGAATATTTAGTTGTTAACCATTAAACATGATTCTAATTGAAGTACCAGCTGTTTACTATTTGTCTGTAGGAGGTGACTGCATAACTGTGGCCGAGCACTGAGGATGCAGCTAGTGCCCAACCCAGCCACCACCACCGTTATTCTGACAGTTGTTCTCTGTACAGATATTGGTCTGGATTTGATACGGGTGTTAAGTCTAATAGCTTTACTACTTGCTATTAGTCTTACACTGATGGACAAAACATTTCAGAATAACCCAGGAATCGCCACCAAGTACACACTACAATTCAGATTAGCAAGTATATGGCGATTTTGTCTCAGTCCAAAATAGCTAAATTGAATTTTGTTTGGAATCAAAGTAAAGTTTCCTCAATTAATTAATTAGAATTGAAAACAAGATGGCACAACTGACAAGTAACTGCAGGGATGGTGATGGATACTCAAAAATCAGCACAGGAACCTGGATTTTCCGGTGCTGCGGTCTGCTGGATCTGGGCTGACTTCACCATGTTCTTCTTGGTTCTTTTGTTCTTCTTCTTTTTCTTCCTCCTCCTCCCCCTCAAAGATGCCGGATTTGTCATTCCGGGTATCACAATGGGATTCGCCTGTTTATTTAGTAAAGATCATTAAAAACCCGACAGAAAAAAATAGCCTCATTCCCACCCAATAATGCCACCCACCTCTACTCTCGGGATAAAGAGGGGCAAATGAGTAACTACAAAACCAGTAATCACCTCCCTTCTCTCTGTTCATGCTACCCCTTCCCTAATCTTCACACCTCTGCCACCTGCTCATCCCCACGGTGACAATTCTTTCCCTTTTCCAGCAGATATCCCAAACAGTGATGTTCACTTCCTCTCCTTTGAGGAAGACATCAGAAGCATTGGTCCCCATTGCATGCATTACACCTCGGCAGTACCTGGGCAGGGAGATGCATGTTTGCCTCAAGTACGAATTCCATGGTTAATTTTTCTCAAGCCATGAATACTAACACTCCCTTCCCAGCACGGGCTCCAAACTAGTTCACCCATGCAGAGCATCAAGCTCCTAAGAGCCTCGACACCTTTGAAAGCCATAAACAGAATGAGCAACACCATTTGCTCGTTCTTTTATTGTCAGATTTCCGTTCTATTAGCTCCCAAGCTCTCTTTTGGACATCTGGGCTACATACTGAGCTCAAGGCCAATCTAGGCTACATGAGACTGTCTCAAATCAAAAACTAGTAAAAATTGCTATAGGCCTGACCTCCATCACAGAGATCCCCCCGCCTCTGCCTCCAGAGTGCTGGGAGTCAAGGCTTTGCCCACCACTGCCTGGCATGAACCAATTTTTTAACCAGATCCATTTGACCTCAGAGGCATTTCCCGCCCAGCCATGACTTTGCCCACTAGAGGCCAGCACTGAGCAGAGTCATTTGTTGCACCCAGAGAAGCCCTGATCTCATCCTCCCTCTCCCTCTCAGTGACAATCTTTGTACTTATTCCCTTCCTCCCAACCGATGCCCAGCACTAAACCCCTCATCCAGGTCCCTAGAGCTTGTTTCCTTACCCTCTGAGGTCATGGCGTGCTCGGTGACTTCCTTTTTTGGTTCTTCTTCCGCTGTCGCCTGTACTGCCATCTCTTCTCCTGCTTGTTCCTGGGCTGCTGCCCTAACTGCTGGCTCCCGCGTGTAAAGACGTGGCTCTGGCAGGTAATGATCTGCTGCTTCCTCGAAGTCTAGAGGCTCCTCCAGCTCCGGAAATGTAGAGATAATCTCTGGCAAGCTTCGGGCCAGGCCTAGAGAGTATGAGGCCCAGGCCTCATACTCTGTGGCCCTCACTGTGGATGGAATGGGCCCGGATGGAACTTGGACCTGACTCGAGCGGCCAGAAGCTGAAGGACCAGGTGTTTCCACCATTCTGTGGTTTGCACGGGGGCGCCTAATCGTGGCTTGGTCGTTGTGATAGACACGGTTGAGAAGGGCACGGATCACATCCATAAACATAAATAGGAAGCCAGCCATTGGGAATCGTTGGTCAGCCATCATTTCTTGATCTCTTATGTTTTCCATCTCCTCCCCTGCCCCCTCCTCCTCAGCAGGTTCAATATCTGAGTCTTCCTCAGCACCTGAGCTCTCTCTCCTATCACCCGCTTCTTGCTGGTTTCTCTCAGGCCCAACATTGTCCACCCCCCTAGGATGAAAGGCCAGTATTTCTTCAATGGCAGGTGTGGCAGAGGCCCCATCGAGGCCGGACTCATGGCCCATCTCGCTGCCCCCTGCAGCTTCTTGTACCCACTCTCCCTCAAGGGCTACTGGGTTGTCTGGGGACTCTCTGGTTGGATCTTGATCCCCTGGGGCAGACATGACACTATAGATCCCTCACCAAGGCCTTGAGTGAGTTGTGTTAAGGACGACAATGGCTACTCGGACCGTAATGGCCAGGACGATGTTAGATGACTAAGGACCACGATGACAGGACAAACAGGAAGTTGCTGGCCCCAAAAGACAGTCGACAGGGGCGTTAGAGGAGAGGGGGCTTTGGAAGAGACAGTTGGTGAAAGGACAAAAGTCTATGATGGTACCTGAGGTGGTCCCATGGAATTAGTCGGGACACGAGAGGAGAGGAGGCCAAACAGGGTGGATGGAGGCCATCCCGCGAGGCTCTTCTAACATCCGGGGACTAGACAGGAAGTACTCATGTCACAGCTTGTAGGGGCGGGGCTTAGGAAACTTAATAAATGCCTTTGTCACCACATAGCTTTAAGATGATTTGTTGAAAAGAGAAGATTGCCATGGCCACCAGCCAGTGATGGATTGAAAATCTACCTTTTCTAGAAAACACCCTCCTTTGTTTGTTTGTGTCTTTAGAAAAAACAGGGCTCTCTTTATGTTATAGTCGGTTCTGTCCCTTCTCTCCCCTCTTCTTTGAAAGCTATCTGTGCTTTTGTATGTTAGGTGAGTGCTGGAATCTAATGGGATCAAAAGAGGACATAGCATTCCTGCTACAATAGTGTTAACCTCATTTATGAGCAGGGAAGTCAGTGCTGGGAACAGAACCAGGGACCTCTGGAAGAGAAGCAACTGTTCTTAGCTACTGAGCTATCTCTCTCCTGGCCAAACCCTATCCTCTTGATTCTATGGTTATCAGCTAAAATATCGTTGCCCAATATGAAGGATCCTAAGTCAGGGAAGCTTCTTCTCTAGTCTAGAGAGTATTTTAGGCTTTCAAGTTCCCAGAGAAAGCTAAAATTAGCAGTATGCATTTCCACAAAAGGAAAGAAAACAAATTTCCACAAATACTTTATATTCAAACACAATAAATGCATTTACTTAAAAAGGAATAAGGCCAATGGAAGGCAAGCACTGAAAACTTGGTAGGCCAATATTGCCTAAATGGACTTCAATTTTCAGTGTTCTCTTTCATCAAAATTGATTGTAAATGTTCATCTGTTGATTTGTATATATATGTGTGTGTGTGTTTCTGTGTGTGTGTGTGTGTGTGTGTTGTGCATACTGGAGGGAGCTATAGTGGGCTACGTGGAAGCCATTATCACTGCTGGGTAAGGCTTTCAGGTATGGCCAGATGGAGGAGACATGCCTACAACCCTGTATGTAACTCCTCATCCAGGCTCTGTGAGGAAGTTTAATAAACTCATTCGTTCCCTTGAATGAACTTTGGCTGAATTGTGACTCTGTCTTTTTCTTGGGATCCCAGGAGCAGGGGTAGACATTTCTTCATGTCTACCTCAGAGAAGGGCGATTTAGCAACACTTGGCATTGTCCATAAGATACGACATACATAAGTATAAACTGTGAAGTGAAATCACGAGTTACATTGTCTCTCCTGTGGAGAATGAGCCAAGTGCCCAAATGAAGCTGTGAGAGGGATGAACGTTTGCAGAGGGAATTTCGATGCAGTGGTCTGTCCCTAATGGCTCTGTAGGTGCAGTGCTCAGGGCATGGAAAGTGCAGAAGCACTGAGGCACCTTAGTAAGGTGACACCCACTGAGGCAGGAACTGTGGGGGGTGAGCGGTGTGGGGTGGAAAATCAAGGATGCTATCTTCTAGGTATTATGGAATGTCATACTGATTGACAGGTGGCTATGATGATGTTTTGAGAACATGTCCAGGGTCTACCGCAGACATTTAAGTCCGGGTGGGGGGCGCTTTGGATGGAGGTGTCAGCAAGCTGCTGCAAGGGCATCCTGACTGCTAATATGAGTAACGAGGGATCTAGCCTCTATCCAAGGTGGAAGGCATCCTCGAGGGAGACTGCATTGTGAAATCAGAATTGAGTGAGAAAGGGATATGAAGTTGGGGGCTTTAGCATTGGCTTCTTAATTAGTGGGTAAATTGGATCAAAGTGATGGAGAAATGGAGGTATTGGCCTGCCATTTTTTTATGCCTAGTTGTCGAAAATACGAAAGAGGCCCATATTAAGCCAGTAATATAAAGCCCCCTCCCAAACCCCAAACCTATATTCTATGGCGGGGGGCAAGATAGCAAAGAGGGACTTACCTCCAAGCAATAAAAGTTATCCCTCAAGTCTGACCTTTGATACAGAGAAAGGGAAAATCCATGACCCAGGAGGCAGGCAGGGGTCGTAACAATGGTCCTGTGGCAGGAAACATAGTCATCAAAGAACATTCAACACTAATCGCTGGAATTAGAGGAAATCTTTAAACAAACAAGAATCTGTCACAGCCTGCTTATAGAACTATGGGATGTTGAGCAGACTCAATTCGAGTGTGTGTGCCACGAAAGCAGAGAAACTGAGCAATATAACCATACATCCCTCCTTGAGAAACAAGCTGCATAGCCTGATGGTGTAGGAGGTCCTTCTATGTGTTGCTTATATTGGTTAATTAATAAAGAAAACTGCTTTGGGCCCTTGATAGGGCAGAACTTAGGTAGGTAAGTGGAGAAGACAGAACTGAATTCTGGGAGGAAGAAAGTAGAGTTAGGGTGACACCATGGATCCTCTGCCTGAGACAGACACCGGTTAAGAATCGTTTCTGGGAAGCCACTGCCATGTGATGATATACAAATTAATAGAAATGGGTTAAATTAAGATGCAAGAATTAGTTAATAAGAAACTAGAGATAATGGGCCAAGCAGTGTTTTAATGAATACAGTTTCTGTGTGGTTATTTCAGGGCTAAGCTAGCTGGGCGGCCAGGAAGAACAAGCAGGCCCTCTCCCTACAACAGCCTGAGGCAGTACAAAGGGAGCCAGACTCTGATGGACTAGCTCATACAAGCCATCAGAGATGGATTCCAAGAGAACCTAGACAAAGAGCTTTAGCAGCTTTGATGAGCCCTCTGGTGAAGCAGGATCTTTATGAAGTAGGAACAGCTTTAGAGGATATAAATGACTCCCACCAGCAAGCAAAAGGTGTCCTTAACCTGGGAGAGCAGCCTAGAGTAACAAAAATTCAAACTTGAAAAAGAGGTCTGTCTGGGTTACGGAAAGGCAAATGTGGCTAGATTTGTGGTAGGTCCAAATTCCTAAGGAGGGGAAGATGATGGAAAGCCAAATTTGGTGCTAAAGAACTTCTGGAAGGCCTTAAAGCCCAAGAAGCAATTCTCAGAAGGCTTTCGTGATTAAAAAGAAGAAAAAACTTACAATATAAATGCAGACGATGAAGTTTGTATAGGGGTTGGCAATTATCCCTCCAGACTAAGCAGAAGAGCTTAGTCTCCTGCATACTGCTGGAGTGTATTCTAGGAGGGGAGATGGTTTGCCCAGCATGGGCCTCTCCCCGGAGCCAGGTGTGGTGGGTGGAGCGACCGAAGCTGCAGCTACAGCCACAGCATCAGTCTAAAGCCTCTCTGACCTAGGAAGCCAGATGGAGCCACACAGGTAGCAGGGGGAGAATAGGACCCCACTTATCATTAGCCCTGAGCAGGCCTGAGCCACATGAACTAGCCCCACCAAGCTCATCAGGGCTGGGGAAATGCAGGGAGGTCCCATGGAAGGTCTCCAGGGGATGGAAATAGAATGACTCAGAATGACTGATGGTTGTGAAAAGCTCACTCAGTGCCTCCTGTTCCAGCTGCTGGATGCAACACGGATCCGTGGAGGAAACACTTAATACTAATGGCTAGTCTCTTCTCTTGTTGTGTTAGACTGTAGTATCTCCTTAGTTGTGGCATTCTGTGACTATGGCCTCTCAAAGTGCTTCCCCAGGGTTATCTCCACAGCCCTACCATTCGTTATAAGATGGCTCAGGGCTTCGCGTCATTGATCTGTCCGTTCTCTTCATAAAGGCTTTGTTACATATGGATATCATAACCCTAACCCTAAGTTTTCTGCAGATTTAGAGACTCTTTTAAGATATGTGAGAGTGTACGTAAAGACGCAAGCGCAGGGAAATATTTCACAAAGGGTACAAAGGCCAGGGGTTGTCCCGGAATTTTTGTAAGTGTTACGGTTGGGTAAGACTGAAGTGATAACAGACCACAAAATGATTGGGGGAAAGTTTACAATAAGCCTAGGCTCTGTAAATGCTGAATTGTGTCTAAAATGTATGACAAATACTCCTAGTAGCTATAAGGTGGTTAATTGGAAATCCCAGTATTGGAAGTAAGTTACTTCTTTTGCAACTGTTGGCCCCAGAGGCACCAATAACAATAAAGGCTATTGCCACAGTTATTTGTTGGGGTCCAGAACTGAACAGTAAGACCCTATTGCTGAAAAGGCTGCGTGCTTTGGCTGCTGTACACTTGAAGAAATAAAGTTAGAACTGGGCTCCAAGTGTCTTCTTCCTGGGAGCCAGCTCCTGTAGTTCCAGAAGTTGCTACTAAGGATGCTGAGGAGAATTGGGCCTCAAAAACCCACTAACTAATCTTGAATTCACAGAGATTTCCCCTGGTTCTGCTTCCTGGGTGCTGGGATTAAAAGTACACACCACTACACCCAACACACTGCATGATTTGTGATAGCACAGGCAAAAGGCACCAACTAGTGTAAAAATAGTGACTCCAACTGCTGTGTCCTGGAGACAGAGGAATGAATAGAAAGGAATGGAGACGCAGTCCCATTTGGAGCACAAAAAATACAGTTGCACAACACATATAGCCACACGTTCCCTCCATGGCTCAGGGAACCTTGGAAAAGAGGGCAATGTAAGAGCTGGAAGAAGAGGTAGACTGTGCTGTGAGTGGCTGTCCTCTGAGCCAGCAACTGCTTTCCTGGAATATTCAGCTATGCCCCTCTTGCAAAAGATTATCCCTACTAGGCTTGCTGACAGTTTACATCACCCCCGGGGTATTCAACTGCTCTTTGCCAACTGGCAACTCAGGACATGGCCTGGGGGAGGAGCCAGGTTTATACATATATATGCATATATATTTATATTTGTAT